CATCCTTTAATTAGCTCTCTATTAAGGAGCTTGGTTCTCAAAATGTATTTGTGAAGATTAAATGAGACAATGCATTAAAGTGCTTAGAAATAGTATCTGGCAGTCAATAAATGTGAACTAATTATCTCTGTTTTCTAGCCATTTTTCTGATAAGACCAAGCTGATGCTGCAAGGACTCACTAATCTGAAAATCACTTTGCAATCTGCTAACAAAAGGAATTCTGGAATTGCAACAGTATTACTACTATTTGTCAGTTCCTATCCTGTGCCTTTAACTAGGCCACCCGCACCCACCCCTTGTAGTTGGCACCCGAAAGGGCACAAACAAAGTCCTGGAATCGTTCACTTCCTCCTCTTGTGTTTACTCAACCGCTGACCTTTGGGCTCTGTCTCCCCTTCCCAGTCCACACTTGCCTATTGGACGCGACAATTTATTTGTCTTTACCCTATTTGACACTTAAGGCTCTTGTTCCCTCTCTCAATCTCAATCTCAATCAAGGTTTTGGAATTTCCCTTTGGTTCCCTTCACTCCCAGGCACCCCAGTAGCTCTACTCCTTCTAAACAAGGCCCATTCTCCTGACCCAAGTTGGTGGGTTTGCTTCTGCCTTGTAGGGGGCCAGAAACTCTCTATATTGTAGCATTTGTTATAAATATTGATTTTTTGATATTTGGAGCTGGGCGATAGAATTTAGGCTCTTCATATTTCTACGTTTCAGGAAAGGGAAAAATGGAATGTTGCCAAAAGTTATTTTTTCTTCTTTATTATTGTGTTAACTGAACTGGCTCTTTCTACCCCTTTCTATCTGCTGCCTCTAGTCTGCCAGTTTGATGAGCTCAGATTCCAACTGCCCATGAAAAGTGATTCCTGAGTGCTTTATTGGGTTATTTTCCCTTCAAGGGCTTCACACACGTATCTATAAATTGCCATGGTGATCTGTATCAGTTGCCAGAATGTTTGAAGCTTCTTTCTGAATCTCTGACAGTTGGTTAAGACTGAAGAATAAACTTGGGCTAATGTTAGTGCACAAGAAAGAGCTTGGGTAAACCCATCAATTAGGATTATACCCCAAGTTCTAGTGTGGACAACAAATATTTGTTATCTTTTTAATCTCTGTGTTTTGTGATGGATTACCACTTAATATCTTCTCAGTTGTCAGTGGCATATCTACCCCCACTATATCCCACCCTAAATGTAAATTCCCTCAGAGCACGGACTAGATCTGTTTATATTCACAGCTCTATCCTCAGCACCCAACATAGTGCTTGGCCAATAGCAGGCAATCAATCAGTGTTTGTTGAATATCGAAGGAATGAATGAATGAATGAGAAGCAGGATAGAGCTGTGGTTGGACCACAGCCTTTGGCATCAAAAAGATTCCAATTCAAGTTTTGGTGACGCCACTTCCCAGCTATGAGATTTCTCTGAATTTCAATTTCTTCATCAATAAAATGGGGGTGATAATTGTACCTACCTCATAGCTTTGGGGGAGAATTAAGTAAGATAATGCATGTAAAGTTCTTAGCACAGTAGCTGGAATATTTTCAGAACTTGATAAATGTTGACTATTATGTCTATTCATTTCAGTGAAAATCCTCAAATGTTGAAGCTTATTAGAGGTAATTGAACTAATTTAATATGAATAGTAGTGATGACTGTACTAAAGACAAATTAGTTTAATTAATCTGTCAGCAAGATTTTACTTAAAGAGTTAAGTTGACAAAATATGTATTAGTCACACCCACCATGTTTAAAGCACTATGCTAGGCTTTCAGACATAGGCAGGATGCAAAGATAGTTATGACACAGTCCCTTCCCTCTAGTGACATAAAATCTAGAAGACTTTCTATGTATGCAGTATTATGCTGAGTATACATAAATATGAGGCATCATTACCTCCCACCAATTGTCTGATTTACTCTTCCTGCTTTGCAGAATATTATTCTACGACATTTGGCATCTCCTTTGAACTCTTACAATGACAAGAAACCCATTACCTCATGAAGCAACTCATTCTTTTGGGGAATAGTAATCACCTTTAGAAAGACTTTTCTTAAAACTAGCACAAATCTACCTCCCTGTGGTTTTTACACATTAATCCAATTTCTGCCTTCTGGACACACACGGGATAAATCCATTTTTTCCCTTTATATCAGAGGTCAGCAAAGTTTAAGGCATGCAGGCCAAATTCAGCCCAACATTTGATTTTGTAAATAAAACTTTATTGGAACACGGCCAAGCCTGTTCATTTATATATTGTCTGTGGCTGCTTTTGCACACTAGCAGAGTAGTGGCCCACATAGCTGGAAATATTTGGCCTTTGAAGAAAAAGTTTTTTGCATTCTGATCTATATGACAGACTTTCAAATACTTAAAGACAACCAACCTGTCTCCCTTTAAAGTGGGAAACCCAGAACTGAGCCTAGAACTCTAAGTGGGAACTAATGGAGTCAGAATGAAGTAGCACTATGACCTCCCTGTTCTGGACACCATACTTCCAATTATGTGGCCAGAGATCAGGTCGGTCTTTGACTGACACACAATACTGGAGTGTATAAAGGACTAAATCTCTGATATTTTTTTCCCCAGCAGCTTCTATTAAGTTATGCCTTCCCATCCTGCATTGGTGTAGCCTAGTGTTGGAAACTATATATAAAACTTTATATCTTTCCAGCCTGTCTAGAGCAATCAGAAAACAATTCAGCATATATTCCAGGGCTGTATTAGTCAGGGTCAGACAGGACAAAGATGACAAACTGAGCTAGGATTTTTAAGAGAATGTAATGAAGAGACAATTTACATACCTGTGGGCAGGGTTAAGAGAACTAACAAAGGAATACTTCACTCCCCTCTCTACACAAAGGGGAATGGGGAGGGAGGGATTTTGCTGGGGCCCAGTGATAGCTGGAGCCATGGAAGAGGGGCTGCCCCACTAAAGCTGTGGCAGTGGAGACACAACCACTGCTAGAACAAAGCCAGCAGGAAATAGATACACTGATGTGCTCCTCTCCCATCCTCTGGCTGCCATGAGTGGAACCCAACCTGAAGCTGGAGGGCAGGAGAGCCACAGGAGTCAGCCCCACAGGAGACAAAGCAGGACCAAGAGGAGGTGTGGGAGTTGGGGCAGAGAATGACAAGGGCTAAATGGGATGTGCCAGGCAGTTTCTAAATGCCTGAATGAATAAACAGATGAATGAATGAAGTGGACCCAAGGCCTGGCACTCAATAAATGTTTGTTGTGCTGCAGAAATGAGAGAAAGGACCATGATCTCCTTTATTTCCTCCTGCCCCAGAGCCCTCACTACTGCTGCTCATTGTTCCAGACTTCCCATCTCCCATGCAGCCCTGCTCCTGTGCACCACTCCCTTCGCACCCTTCCCTAGCCTCTCCTGACCCCTGAGGGTTTCCCCGCAAGAGCATAAAAAGAATCTGGATCTTACATGAGAGGTAACACAGCAGAACTGGGGTTGTTCTAAACAGAGCTAGGACATTATCAAAGAGAGGGCTTTCAGTCCTAAAATGATTCTCAGAATCTAAAATGCATTCTAGAATGTTTAGAGTTTTAAAAAATGAAAATTCAGCATCACTGCACTCTATGGAGAAAAGTTGGTGACTTCTGAGAAAGCTGCCCTAGACGTTTGTGTTACAAGCCCTAGATTCACTAGGCACCTCATTACCGAATGCCTTGGGCTGGCCGTGTTATGCTCAAATGGCCCTCATCACATCATAGGCTTTTATTGCCAAGATGTCTGAGCTCTCCATTCGTTATGCCAGTAGCAGTAATGCTGAGAAAGTGAGGTGTGTGAGAGAAAGTCTCAATGGCATGAAGCCACTGGGAGCTTATCCACAACTTTCTGCTTATCACTTCCTCCTCCATCAGTTGAGTCAGCACGGAGAATATTCAGCACACCAGGGACAATCCTTAGAATTCTGGATTTTGAAGACATAGAAATTACTTGAAAGTATTGTTTGGTCTGCTACTCTAGACTGTTTTTGCACGGAATGTGCAAGACCAAATTGGGCACTCAATTAGGAATTGCTGTCCACACATTAAAGCAAATTTTAAAAAGTAACTACAGACATATACGAGCCAATTTTGTATTCTGAAATCATTTTTGTTTTAATTCAGATCCATACTATTAGCAATTGTCACCACATATCTCACAGACCCAAGACCCAGTCCCCAGAATTTAAAGTGTCTTGTACAAAACCTAGTGCCGGGTGTATTGGAAGGAGCAAGATGGGAACCATGATTCTTGATGGGCACGGCCCAACTGATGTGAACCCGTACCCAACAGCCCAGTAAACAACTTCATCCTCACCAAAAGTTATTCACACTTCAAAGAGCATTCTTCTTCTGCCAGTGTTCATATGAATCCAGGAGATAGAAGCAAACTCGAGCTTGAAGTTGGAGTGGCCAATTTCCCAATTCAGCCATGGCTATGACAGGATTTGTCAATAAACTTTATTCGAAGTCTCCAGCACCAAATTTCATGAAATCTAATCCCAATTAGTATGACTGGCAATATTTGAGTAAGATCTGTACATTACATAATAGCACTGTCTCAATGTTAATTTTCTGATTTTAATCATTACACGATAATGTAAAAGGATGCGCTTGTTCTTAAGAAAACCCACTGAAATATTTAACGGTGAAGAGGCATCATGACTGCCACTTACTCTCAAATGATTCAGAAAAAATAATTTGTGTATACAAAAAAGAAAGAGAATGATAAATCAAATGTAATAAAATATTAACAATTAGGGTATCCGGGTGAAGGGTATACGGTATTTTTTTTCACTATTTTTTGCAATGTTTCTACAAATTTGAAATTACTTCATAATAAAGTTGTTAGAAAACTAATTCTACAAAACCAGAGCTGTCTTATGCCTGTGCCTGAAGTGCAGGGATGTCAGCCATGCTCATGCTGCCATGTGAATCAGAAATGGCATCTCCTGTTTTGTTATCTTTGGGCTAAAATGAGTCATTTCCTCTTTCAGCTAAAGAACTCTTCTATTCATGGAGGGAACACTAGGATGCTTTCCACGTGAACCCTGAAGGTAAGGGGAACTTGACCACGTGTCCCTCTGTCACACTGCCCATCTGTCCTACTGTCCATTTCATCCAGGCAAAGGGCAAGGACTCACCTCTCTGGCTCACAGACAGAATAATTCCAAACCAGTCAATGTCTGCATTGTCTCGTTCTGCTGTGCTCAAAGACCTTTTCCATTTCCCCAGCTCAGAAAACCCTTCTTTGTTTTTCTCAAAACTGTTAATAGCCGATATCTTCTAGTAGTGCGATCATGGGGTATTTTTATTTTCTCCTTACTCTTTTCTATACTTGAGAGATTTTCAACAATGACTGTGTTACTTTTAAAATCAGAAAAAGAAATGTGTTTGCTTTTATTTTTCCAAGCAGCTTTGCATAAATTCTTGCCATAGCTTTCTGTGCCCCCTGTAGCCCCCTAATATTGTCACTGCTGCGTATTTCCTCCCTCTCAGCCCAGTAACAGAGCTTATGGAAAGACTCATATATGATGGGCTCTGGATCTTCCCCATCTACCATCAGCAAGAAAAATTACTTCATGGCCCCCTCACCCGCTGAGCCCCAGGCACAATCTTCTGGATTGGGTCTCACAAGCTGTTGGTAGTCTCTCCCCACCTACAATATCCTATTGCCATTTTTGGAGTTGGAGTTAGATAGAAGTACTGAACTCACATTTTCTCCCTTCATGCCAACTCGAATACCATGCCCCTAGTCCATCACCCTAGGATGCCAGGCCCAGCTGACAAATAGGTCATATGAAGAATTATGGCTCCGTTTTACAGGTGGAGAAACCAAGCCTCTGTATATACTACAATAAAATGGGATCTAGATCCTTCAAGACCAACTGGACATGTGTAACCCTGAGGATGCACTCTCTCTCTTTCAGAGGAAGTTAAGGACTCATGAAGATATGAAACTGACTAGGTCATTGGTAGAAGAAAATTCCAGCCAAAATTATCCTAAGATGTTCTGAGGCCACCCCAGGGTATTTACTAGTCTTCCAACATTGAAAAACGATAGCCCTCTGAGGGCCATATGCCACTTCAGTGTCAAGAACCAAGCCTGAGCTTTCCCTGTGGGCCAGAGGTTCTCATCTTTAGCACTGTTGACATTTTGGGCCAGATAATTCTTTATCGTGGAGGCTGATCTGTGCAATCCCTGGGGTCTTAGCAGCATCCCTGGTCTCTACCCACTAAATGCCAGTAGGACACCACCACCCACCCCCCCACTTGTAACAGTGTCTTCAGACATTGCCTAAGGTTCCAGAGAGGAAAAAATTTCCCCCTAGTAGTGATAATAAAATAATGTTTCCAGACATTGCCAAATGTCCCCAGGGTGGGGGGCAAATCACCCCCATGAAGGACCACCACTCTAAGTTACCTCAGCCCAGTGAGAACTTTTTTTTCATGCAAATGGACTGAAATTTATGGTGTGCAAAGTAAACAGTAGCAAGGACTTGCAGAATGGGTACCATCAGTCACCACAATTCTTTGGCACAAGAGGACCCTGTGGCATAACAGCCCTGCCCAAGAGTATTTCGTAACATTGCAACTGGTGAATCAACCCAGCCAGACGACTGGCTTCTCTGAGTTTCTTTCTCCTTTCTGGGTTTCTGCCCCTTGACACCAAAAGCCTCATAAGATTTGTTTGAATGGAAGGCAAACCAGGGAGAACGGGGTAAGGCTGAATACTGTGAGTAGCCCTTCCCTTCAAGGAGTTGAAGAGATCCAGAAAGCATACTCTGAACTGTGCTGCAAAGTACCAGGGGGATTTGGCTGCCATTTTTTATTTATATGTGTACTTATTTCTAGACCACATTATCACATGAAAGATGTGAGACTTAGTCTCCAATTTATTTCATACAATTTGATGTTTTTTAAACAAATAGGAGTGTGTTCTGGGCAGTGGCTTAACTGGAAATCCCTTTTTCCATTCCTCAAAGAGTGTAGAGCAGGTGAGGTGGTGGTAGCAGATTTACCTATGGTACCAGTTGGCGAACCGAGGCCCCAAGAGTAAATCCGGAAGCACTAGGGTTGGTATATGCTCTTCCTGCTCAAGCGTGCCTCTTATTTCCTCAGTTGATCTCCTTTCCCTGCTTCCACCACCCCATCCCCATTATCCTCTACCCTTTACCCAATCTAGTGTCTTATTTGAAAGGCTGCTTCTGATGCCAGTGGGTATCTGTGAAAACACAGGCAAGAACTTGAGAGCGGTTATGTGGTCGTCCAAGAGAAACAGAAACTCAGGTCGGTTTCAGAGTGAGAAGAACATCCAGAAAGCAATGTTCATAAAAGAATTCAGAAGAAAGAAAATCTCCCTAAAATTAGAGGAGATTAGACATAAGAGTAGAATTGCAATTCATGTTTGAGACTCCGCCAAAAGTGCCACCGTCCATGTTGTGGCCTTCAATTTGGTTTCTGGTCTCTTTGACTTAACTGTTAACTCTTCAATCCTGTCCCAATGGTAATGATCACTTCTTAACCATCTCTCCCTGGCACCTCCTCCCCAGGGTGGAACAGAATGCCACTCTGACTGGCATGCCAGCTTCTTTTGCAAGAGCTTGGCACCCTTTCAGCTCAGCTCACTCCAACCCTCCACCGCCAGCCCTTTCCCAGGGTCCCATGTGCCCAGCTCTGACCTTAGTTCCCCCCAGATTCCAGGAGGCTGGGAGGAACTTAGAAAAAACTCAGGGAACTGGGGAGGATGTGCCCACATAGAATGTGCTTTGAAGTGAGTCTAAAACTCTATGCCCATAATCTTTTCACCCACCCTGCTTGCCTGCCAGAGTCCAAATTCCTATCATTTGAGCCTCTGCTTTGACTAAAGTATGGTTTTGCTCAAAACCTATGCACTTGTCTAAGAGGGATAAGACCTTAATTTATAGATAGGAATTTGTTATCAGATTATCTTGTTGGCACTTCTCTAAGAAGAGGGCTTTGGAATTGTGACACAGGACAGGTTAATTATGATTGCAGTGGAGAGACTGAAATGATCGAGGTCTTGAGCTCCAGACCTGCTCTGTCCAATACACTAGCCACTGGCAACATGTGACGATTTTAATATAAATTCATTGAAATTAAACAATATTAAAATTTCAGTTTCTCAGTCACACTGACCACATTTCAAACGTTCATAGCCACATGTGGCTAGTGGCTACCATATTGGACAGAGCAGATACAGAACATTTCCATCATCATAGGAAGTTCTGTTGGACGGCACTTCTCTAGACTCAGGCTGGTACCGTCAATGGGGAGTTCTGGAAAACAGAGGGAGCCTAAAATCACCAGCTCTGTAGGGAGGGATGGAGAAGAGTAGGAGAAGGAACCAAATTCCAAAGGGAAAGTAAAGGGAGACCAAAGGCAAACTTTATATGCTTTGCCAAGGGCCCGGCCCTGAGCAAACACGCATCCACCCCACCACAAAGCTCTTTATGTTGACACTTGCAAGTAAAAGAGCAACTGGGGTTGGCTTTGGGCCCCATTTCCTCTATTGTATGGCCCCTGGGATCTGCGGGCTGCTTGTGAAGCATCCTGATAGTATAAGGCAGCCCATCGGTATCCAAGAGTCCACTTAGAGCTGGGAGTTCCCAAATCAAAAGACATTCAGGGGAAAGGAGCACCTTCTCCATCTGGAATTAGACCTCATTCAGAGAATCTGAGGGATATAGGGGGTCTGAGGAGCAATTGTCCCCCCTTACTGATGACAGTGTTCACACTGCATAGCACTTGCAGTCACATGAAGCATTTTCACAATATTAATTCATTTCATCCTCACGATAATTGGCTGAGGAAAGCAGGGCATATGTGACCCTCTGGACACTTTCTATTCAAAGAAATTCATGCCGAGAAAGAGAAAAGAACTGACAAAGTAAATTTGACTAGTAAATGGTAGAACCAGCTGTAGAAACCACCCTCCTATCTGTAGCTCACTTCACCTCTCTCGGGGAATGAGGGTTACTTTGTACCTCTCCAGATACCTAAGTATGTCAGCCCCAAAGGGTGTGACCTCCCCTCGGATCATGCTGCAACTTCAGTTCACATCCAACCCCAAGCCAACTATGAAGCCCCCAGCAGTCTTCTGGACTCTTCATTACCAAATGACCCATGTGAGCTGCCAAGAGAGGGGGCGAAGTGGACTCATGGCTAGAACAAGGATACCGATGTGACTTTTCCCAGAAGACCTCTCCTAGACAAATGCCAACATCTAGAAAACGGCAAAGAGGAAATGGTGCCCGTGGCAGCCTGTGCAACAGACCTGCTGAATCTGTTTTCCTGTGCACAAGACACAGGAAGATACTGCTTTCCTGGCTCCCCAAACTCTGAGTCTACAGTGGGAGACCCTGGAACATGCCAGTGGCTTTCACTTACTAGAAAAGGATCCAGAACACTGGATCAGATTAGTTCATTTATAGGACTTTCAATCGTTTGTGTTCAAACATTTATGACTTATTCTCAAACTTGAAAGAACCTCTCACTATATGGGAACCATTTACATACACGACTAAATATCAGATCAGATTCCATGTTTTCCTTTGACATAGCATGCACATATGTAAACAGATATGCAGAGTAATTATTGGACTTCCACATCTAGTGAGCTCTAATACCAAATCAGCCATTGTCCAGAGAACTGGAAAGAAAAAATCAAAAGGATAATCAAATAGATAAAGCAACAGTGAGGATAGAGACAAGAATGAAATGATTACTTTAAATGTGCCCAATAAAGCAACACCCCTAGCAACATACTACTTTGTTCTTTCCTTTTACAGCAACATCCTGATACTTCTCAATCAAAGTCCACTTTTCTCTACCTCTGAGCCACTAGAGCTGAAAACATACCCATTTCATCAATTATACCACTGAGCTGTCCATGCCAAACTTTGGTGACATACCCCCAAGGCCAGATGGCTGATTAAACGTGGATTAAACAGTAGGCATGTAATACTCATGGAAGAAGTCCTGAGGAAACCAGTTCCGGGTTTGATTTGGCAGTTCACAATATCACCATGGACAC